AAGAACGTATGCTCAGAACATCTCTCCTCTGTATGAGTTTGCCCTAGCCGATTCAATTAGATCTTACCGTTATCCTCTTCGGTGGTCAGAGATTTCGACGTCACTGTGGGAGGGACATTTCCCTTTCTTTGCTTCTTGTTTTGTTTATGTTCAATCGCTCCTCCTTGCTGTTTCGCTTCATGAATTTTGGAGCTAAAGATCTCTCGGCGTCGAGGCCTTGTCGCGGCGTTGTCCCCTAGGTGATCTCGGCGGTTTCTGCTCAGATCTGCTTGGGCGAGTTTAGTTCTTAAGGTAGAAAGAGACTCACTCAATTGCTCTAGTGGGGGAACTTTTGAGGTTTATTTGGGGTCTCGTCTCGATTTACAGTTTTGTCTTCACGATGTTTTTTCCTTGTGGTCGAGAAGCGGCAAGCTGTGCTTTTCTGGAGGTGGGTCTCGATCTCCTTGCGGATCTACGTTTTGTTCGGTTTGATTTGGGTTGGAGATAAGGAGTCTCGGATCTCATGATGCTTGGAGCCTACATCTTCATCTTTGTGATTTTGTTTGCCTTGAGGACAGTTTCGGATCCGAGATGTTTGGTTTGTTCTCTCTGGCTTGTGCTCTCTTGAAATTTTCCCTTGTTTTTCTTCTTCTGTCAGGTCGAATGGAAGTGTTCTCATGCCTGTTCAGGGCTCTCTCGTTGGTGGTGCTCATTTTGGCCGTTAGGAGTTGTCTATTCTCTCTTGAGTTTTTCGGTGGAGGTTCTTTGGATTCCTAGATCCGTGTTAGGCCTTAGTCTAGGTTGATTCGGTGGTGTCTTTCTCCGATCCAGCCTGTTTTGTAGCTTTAGTCTCTGGTTTTTGGGTTGCGATTCAGACTCGTTTGGGTTTAATTGGTTTTGTTTTTTTAGTCATCGATTGGTTGAAGTTGTGGTGTGACTCGTGACTGGTTTTGGGGCGGGTGATGGGTGTTGTATCTTTTGGCAGTGCTCCTTCCTTCGCATAGGTCTTTTGGGTTCTATCCTTATTGGTTCGTCATCGTGCTCGGTTTCAGCTAGGATAGTGTTTGATTCGCTCCTTGTATCTACATTTCAGATTTGTTCGGGATCTGCTCTTTTTGAATTGATTTCTATTGAGGTGGTTTATTCAGTTGGTTTTGTCTCCACCGTTTTTGGAAGTGATTGGAATTCCCGATTGTTCTCCTTTTTTTGCCAAAGTATGAAGCTTGGTCGGTCATTTGCAGAGGTAAAATTGATTCTTCATATGAGGATTTGTGGTTTGGTTTCGGTCCCTATGCCTTGCGAAATTTGTTAGCTCTTTTTGATAGATTTGTGTATCTTTTTTCAGTCCTTTATCATGTCTCATATGTTGTCGAAAACTATATTTCGCTTTGATCGCTATATTTCTAATATATCTTAAGATGACAAAAAAAAATAAAAAAATATACGCGATAAGAACATGACACATAGTAAATTATAACATGTG